GTGTTGCTCGAAGCATGAGAAGTGGCTTGAAAGTGCCTCGGCGCAGTAATATGAATGTTACCATTTTATTAGGGATTTTTCCTTTCTGTTCGGTTTGATGTCTGTAACTGCAGCAGAATTAAGTTTAGTTGGAAAACCAATCTGTTTTACAGGTTCAGAGCTTATACCATATGTAGTAAACTTGATTGAAACGGGGAGCTTTTCAGTCTGTAGCTTGGTAATATATACTTTCTTTTTTCTTGTCAAAATCTGATTGGGACCTCGAATGACTACAAATTAGTTTAGTGATGGGGCAACTGTCACAGATATCTTTGAATGAGTTGAAAATGAACAAGGCTGACAGGAACGTGAGAGTCTAATGAGTCCTTCAAATGGTTGATTTGCACTCAGTGGACAACTAGACAATAAGCGGTATGAATTATTGGAAATCAATACTTTGCTATGGAATTTCATTATGCTCCAATGTCTTCAGTTCATAGTATTTTATATTTTGATGGATTATCTGAAGCAAACGATCATCTGAGTCATAGGGATTGATAAAGCTCCCTTGTACGGTCTCGAATCTTGCTTCTGACTGATTTTTTGTGAAGTAGAAATATTGATCTATTTCCACGTACCATCTTAGTCTATTGTTTTAGAGTGGTAGATAAAAACAGTGCTTTTAAATAAAATGTCCAGCAGATTTTTTTTGTGTGTGTGTCGCTGTTCAGTTTCTAATCCATCATCTTTTGATGTTTTAGGAGACACAGAAAAGGGTCAAGGAAATCGAACCACTAAGAATAAGGATGCCCATGTCTGTGGCAGGTGCTGTGCTGAGTTCTTTGAATTATCAGATCTCCTGCAACACAAGAAGAACTGTACTAAAAATCAATTAGTTTTAATTGTGAATGAAAATCCAGCTTCTCCTCCTGAAACCTTCCCTCCTAGTTCCCCGTCTGATAATCCTGATGAACAGATGAATGACACAGTTAATAACACAGATCAAGTAGACTGCAGTGACCTTTCAGAGCATAACAAACTTGACAAGGAAGAATCCATGGATGTGGAGGCTTCCAGCATTAACAATAGCAGTAGCAGTTCCAAGAGTGTCAACAATAGTATTACAAGCAGTAACAGCTCCACAATGGGTACCTCATCTGTAACAACCTCTCTACCTCACATAGGGGATCTGACGACGTTAGGCAACTTCTCAGTAATAAACAGTAACGTAATAATTGAAAATCTTCAGAGTACTAAAGTGGCAGTAGCACAGTTCTCGCAGGAAGCAAGGTGTAACGGTGCGTCAAACAACAAGCTTGCTGTACCTGCCCTGATGGAGCAACTGTTGGCTTTACAGCAGCAGCAGATCCACCAGTTGCAACTGATTGAACAAATTCGTCACCAAATATTATTGTTGGCTTCCCAAAATACGGACATGCCAACATCTTCTAGCCCGTCTCAAGGTACTTTACGAACATCTGCCAACCCCTTGTCCACGTTAAGTTCCCATTTATCCCAGCAGCTGGCTGCAGCAGCTGGATTAGCACAAAGCCTTGCTAGTCAATCTGCCAGCATCAGTGGTGTGAAACAGCTACCCCCTATACAGCTACCTCAGAGCAACCCTGGCAGCACTCTAATTCCATCCAGCAGTGGCTCTTCTCCAAATATTAACATACTGGCAGCAGCAGTTACAACACCGTCCTCAGAAAAAGTGGCTTCGAGTATTGGTGGCTCACAGCTCAGCAACCCACCAGTATCAGCATCATCTTCACCAGCTTTTGCAATAAGCAGTTTATTAAGTCCTGCATCTAATCCACTTCTACCTCAGCCCACCCCTAGTAACTCTATTTTCTCCAGCCCCTTGTCCAATATCGGAACACCTGCAGAGGATTTAAACTCCTTGACTGCCTTGGCACAGCAAAGAAAAAGCAAGCCACCAAATGTAACTGCTTTTGAAGCAAAAAGTAATTCAGACGAGGCGTTCTTTAAGCATAAATGCAGGTTCTGTGCTAAAGTGTTTGGGAGTGACAGTGCCTTGCAGATTCATTTACGTTCTCACACTGGCGAGAGGCCATTTAAATGCAACATATGTGGAAACAGGTTCTCCACAAAGGGAAATTTAAAAGTCCACTTTCAGCGGCATAAAGAAAAATACCCTCACATTCAGATGAATCCATACCCAGTGCCAGAGCATTTGGACAATATTCCTACAAGCACGGGTATTCCTTATGGGATGTCTATACCGCCAGAGAAGCCTGTCACCAGCTGGCTGGACAGCAAACCAGTCCTCTCCACGCTCACCACTTCTGTGGGGCTGCCACTCCCGCCAACGATACCAAGCTTGACCCCATTCATCAAAACTGAGGAGCCTCAGCCGATTCCCATTAGCCATCCCTCTGCCAGCCCTCCCTGCTCTGTCAAGAGTGACTCGGGAACCGCTGACCCCACATCAAAAATTTCCAATGGACTTTCTGATGAGGTAGAGGCTGGTGCTTTGCCTACCTCAAACGGCAAAATGGAAGAAAACCCTCAAAATTCAAACTCCGTTGCTAACATGAGCAGCTCTGTAAGTTCACCGGCAGCAGACTCAGGCTCTGGCAGCATCGCCACTTTTACAAATCCACTGATGCCTCTAATGTCAGAGCAATTCAAGGCAAAGTTTCCATTTGGAGGACTGTTGGATTCGACGCCAGCGTCTGAAACGTCAAAACTGCAGCAACTGGTAGAAAACATCGACAAAAAGGCAACCGATCCCAACGAGTGTATCATTTGCCACCGAGTTCTCAGTTGCCAGAGCGCACTGAAAATGCATTATCGCACCCATACCGGTGAGCGGCCATTTAAATGTAAAATCTGTGGACGCGCTTTCACTACTAAAGGCAACTTAAAGACTCATTACAGCGTCCACCGTGCCATGCCCCCCCTGAGAGTACAACATTCATGCCCGATCTGCCAGAAGAAATTCACCAATGCCGTTGTGCTTCAGCAGCACATCCGGATGCACATGGGAGGGCAGATCCCAAACACCCCGGTCACCGAAAACTATCCCGAGTCAATGGAATCTGATACAGGATCTTTTGATGATAAGAATTTTGATGATTTAGACAACTTCTCAGATGAGAACATGGAAGACTGTCCTGACAGCAGTGTGCCAGATACTCCGAAATCTGCAGATGCATCACAAGACAGCTTGTCTTCTTCCCCTCTGCCCCTGGAAATGTCAAGTATTGCTGCTTTGGAGAATCAGATGAAGATGATCAATGCAGGACTTGCGGAACAACTTCAGGCAAGCTTGAAGTCAGTAGAAAATGGGTCAGTGGAAGGGGATGTTTTGACTAACGATTCGTCGTCTGTTGGTGGTGACATGGAAAGCCAAAGTGCTGGAAGCCCTGCTGTCTCGGAGTCTACCTCTTCCATGCAGGCCTTGTCCCCATCCAACAGCACTAATGATTACCACAAGTCACCAAGTATCGAAGAGAAACCAGTAAGAGCTTTACCAAGTGAGTTTGCCAATGGTTTGTCTCCAACCCCTGCAAACAGTGGTGCTTTGGACTTGACATCTAGTAACACTGATAAAATGATTAAAGAAGAGTCTCTGAGTATGCTCTTTCCTTTCAGAGATAGAGGTAAATTTAAAAACACCGCATGTGACATTTGTGGCAAAACATTCGCTTGTCAGAGTGCCTTGGACATTCATTACAGAAGTCATACCAAAGAGAGACCATTTATTTGCACAGTTTGCAATCGTGGCTTTTCCACAAAGGGTAATTTGAAGCAACATATGTTGACACATCAAATGCGAGATCTACCATCACAACTTTTTGAGCCCAATTCCAGTATCGGTCCTAATCCGAACTCTTCGGTTATGCCTGCTAATTCACTGTCATCGCTCATAAAGACGGAGGTTAACGGCTTCGTGCACAGCTCCCCTCAGGACGGCAAAGAAACACCCTCTGCTCTGGCTGCTTCGGGGCCGCTGTCCTCTGCCACGTCCCCTGTCCTGCTGCCTGCTCTCCCCAGAAGAACCCCCAAACAGCACTACTGCAACACGTGTGGGAAAACGTTTTCCTCCTCCAGCGCTCTGCAGATCCACGAAAGGACGCACACTGGTGAGAAACCTTTTGCCTGCACTATATGTGGAAGAGCATTCACAACAAAAGGCAATCTGAAGGTACTTTTTCCTCTTGCTGTTCTTAGGTTTCATTTTGTCCTCGCTGTGTTGGTTTTGGTTGGTTTGTTTGTTTCCAGTGTTCACGGTGATTAATGCTGCAGGCAGCAGTACCTGTGGCTATCTGTGGTATGATAAGCGGAGTGATAGTACTAGGTGGGCTCTTGTTGAGTGCTTGCATTGGCAGCAGGTCCGAAGCGTGATCTGTTTTTGATGCGTAATTAAAGTTCACCTACTAGCAAAGACCATCTATGTAGAGTGTGAAAGAGAACAGCCATATGTTGGTAGGCAGTACTACTAAATAGAGAAATGCTTTCAGTAAGAATGCAAAAGGCTCTCGAATGTGTTGCTTTTTCGTAGCTATCGTGTAAAATGATGGTTGTTTAAAAAAACTATTAACATAATTCTAGAACTAATGGGCATTACTTTAATTGATTATATAACTAACATTTCCTACTGATATGTGTTTGGAAAAGCAAATATACTTAAGTTTTAGAACACCAGTTGAGCACTTTACTGTGTACATTTTTCTGTTGACAGAGTATTTCTCTAGAGGTTGCTGCCAGTAATGTGAGATGAATAATTACTTTCAGACCATTCTGTCTATACACGAAGCTCTCCGATGAGCAATCAGCAAAGGATACTTTTTGCCTGTCTGAAAAGGATGTTTATAGGGAAAGGGGTGTCAAATACAATACTTACCACTGCAATGAAAGTGGACATAGCAATTCTAGCCCCAAAAGCAGCTATCTGCGATTGATGGAGTAACACAAAGTCATTATAAGCTAAATACATGTAATAATTTAAAGAAAGTAAGAAGTAACGTACTGTTCAGGAGGAAGACAGGGTATGCTGGGTGATGGTGCTGGGCTGATCCAGAAGAAGCTTGTTTATTACTCCAGACGGGAAATGGTGCCCTGCATCCGCTGCCTTTACTGCTTTATTATGTAACAAGACTGGACATGTTTGTGAACTGCTACCTTCACTGGGATGAAAATAAGTTTGCCAACTGCTACTCTTTGTTTCTTTCTTTCTTCTTTCTCTCTTTCCAGGTTCACATGGGCACTCACATGTGGAACAGCACTCCCGCAAGGCGAGGCAGACGACTTTCCGTCGATGGCCCCATGACGTTCCTAGGAGGCAATCCTGTGAAGTTCCCGGAAATGTTCCAGAAGGATTTGGCTGCGCGGTCAGGGAACGGAGACCCGTCCAGCTTCTGGAACCAGTACGCAGCAGCGCTCTCCAATGGCTTGGCCATGAAGACCAACGAGATCTCCGTCATCCAGAACGGCGGCATCCCTCCGCCGCCGGGGGGCCTGGGCAACGGGGGCAGCTCGCCCATCAGCGGCCTGACGGGCAGCCTGGAGAAGCTCCCGAGTTCGGAACCCAACGCACCTCTAGCTGGTCTGGAGAAAATGGCAAGCAATGAGAACGGGACAAACTTCCGCTTTACGCGTTTCGTGGAAGACAACAAAGAAATTGTAACGAATTAGTAAAAACTATACGTAACATTCCTGCAAATAGTGCAACCTAGGGTTGCTTTTTTCAAACTGCAAGCTACAACATTACAGAGACTTTCTTTTTTTTTTTTTTTTTGTACCATGTTCTACTTCTAGAGTTCTAAGAGAGCTTATTTATTAGCGATATAACCTTGCTTTGCAAACAAATGCAAGCATTAACTTTGGTCTCCTGTATTTTGAACTAAATACTAATCGACTAGAGTGCTGTAAAGTTGCTGTAACATTTATGGCAGTTGCGAGTCTGTTCTGCTAGGTGATCTTATTCTGGCATTAACTTATTTTCTATACCCAGTTTAACATGAACTCTGGTATTGATGCAATGCCTCAGTGATGCATTAGATCTCTAATAAAAGTCTGTATATAAATGTACACTTTGATCCTGCTGGAAATTTTATCAGCAAAACACATTGTTTAATTTTTCCAAACAGAATTAAGAAAAGGACTGAAAGGATATAGACTGAACAGTGTGGGTCCTTTACACAGCTCAGTTTTTGATTTTTATTATAAAATTAAAACTGCTTTAATTTTTGTAGGTTTAACATTTTCCGTTTTGAACTGTTATTTGTATTGTGCTTTTTACTTGAGTCGTCTTAAATGTTAATACATTTCTGTACAGTAATAAGCACGCAGATTATTAGAGGAGATACTGAAGTGTTGTTTTGGTAGTTGAAACTGAGACGTAACATTTTGCCTTGTAGGTATATCCATTATAGAAGATGTGCTGGACTTTCACAATGCTGCTAAGTATAGCATCTTGAACAACTCTCGTGGACAACTGTAGATGCTCCTGTATATACAATAAGACATCACTTTCATTAAAATGTATATACGTTCCTTACAAGACCAAGCCCTACTCCTTGACTAAGGGAACAAGTATAGTGTCTGTTTATTTTGTATTAGGTATGGGGGCAGGGGGAACCTTGGACTGTTACATGCACTTTCTCGGAAAGTTGAAAGGAAAAAAGAGGTCCAGTTTCTTTAACATTTAATACTTACTAACAGCAGAGATACTGTAATTTTACTCGAGTAATCAAATACATTTTTGCAACAGATAAAAATTGCTGTCTCTGTGTTTTTAAAGTGTACCTGTATTTGGTAATCATTTTGAATGTATTACTTAGCCTTTCCCTCGGTTAACACGAACTGTCCAGGTTGTACGTGTGTGTTTATATTTGTAAGTATGGATATACATATGTGCTGCATATTAATTGCTGGTATATTTTTCATACTCCCTAATAGTGGGGACTTTCTCCTTAATTAATCAAGTAGCCTTCTCATCAAATTGTAGATATTTTGGCATTTTTCTTTTCTTTATATATATATATAATGCTGCTAGCAAAAACCTAATTGAGCCTGGGGAAGTTTCCTTTGAAGGAAGTACTTATCACATTTAAGGCTTGATTTGGTTCAGATGCTTTATATTTGATATTAATTTTATTCTATGAGAGTCTATGTTTGTGGCACGCTTACGCTGCTCTGTGTTAAGATGTCCACTTGCAAACCTCCGTATGTTATATGGAGCCTATAACTTGACTGTAAAGACAAAAAGAATTGCTTTGGCCTCGCACGTGATTTGGCTTCCCTTCTGCTCCTGCAGTGACCGCCGACCTCAGCGGGAGCGTGGGGACACGGAGCTGAGCCCAGCGCTCCGACCCGAGGGCTGTGATCTCCCTAATGTTATCACTCACGGCAAATAAATTAGTTTGGCTGCCTTCAAATTACGGATGGTGCAAACAAACCAGCCAACCAGGAGCGACCAGTTGCTTACGCACGTATATTTTGTTCTCAACTGCAGCACGCAGGTATTTGCTCTTGAGTTTCTTTGCTGTGGGCTCAAGGGCCGTTCTGCTCTCCCGCATATCGGTCTCTCGCGCTCCCCATCGAATCGGGCGCTGCAGAGGGCTTGGCTGAAAAGCCGGGGAGGGAGAAAAACTTCCCGAGGAGTTTTGCCGTTAATATGATTATGAACGCTCAGTAAAGTATAACGCTGTAGTCTGAACACCTCCGGACTCGCTATCTTTAGAACGCTCTCCTGTTTGACCGCGACGGTTCCGCGGTGCGCGTGCGGCTTCTCGATGCGAACAGTCAGGAACGTCGAGCCACCTTTTGCTCTCGTACAAAGCTAAATCGAACAGGCTTCCACGGCCGCGTCAGCGAAGCGCCAACCCCGCTCCGCGCCGAGCCCAGCTCGGCAGCAGCGCTGCAGGCGGTGGGGCGGTCGGGGCCGCGCGGCGTTCCGGTTCTCCGCTCCCGCTGAGGCGGAGCGCCCCGCGGCCGTTTTGCAGAAGCAAACGCGAGCGGTTTCCCTTCGAGGCCGCGCGGCGCGAGGACGGCCGTCGGTTGGGCGCGTGCCTGGCGGGAGCGGCTGAGGGAACCTCGCACCGCCGAGCGGAGGGGACGCGGCGCTGCGGCCGCCTCGGGGGCTCCGCAACCGCGCCGCAGGTGAGGTGCGATGGGAACGGGGGCTTTTTTCTCCCCGCCTTTCGGCGGCGTTTGTCCGTGGAGCCGCCCCGGGACGCCCCTTTCCTCCGCGCAGATCGATCGCCGCGATGGTACGCGGCGGGGCGGGGCCGCTCCTTTGCGTTCCGGCCGCGGGGATGGGTGCTCGGCGGTGAGAAAGGGACCGGACGCGTCCCGCCCGGCAGACGCTGCTATCCATCCCCGGGCCTTGCGAGGCTTTTCCCTCCCCCCGCAACTCCGGGCGGAGCCGCCGCACTCCCCGCCCCGAAGCCGGGGCCGAGCGGCGTGCAGGCGGAGCTCTTCCCCACCCCGTCGGGCGGAGCGCCTGCTGCCAGCAGCGGGGGCTGGGGGGGGACGTGCGCGTGTAATTTGCCCAGGAAAGGCGGCAGTTCGACGTCCCGTTACCTGACACCGGGCCGTGGGCACCGGGGGGAGCCGGCCGTCCCCGGGGCGGCGGCTGGCAAGCAAACAGAGGTGCCCACGGCGCTCACCCGGCGCAGGATTTCCTATTCACAGACACTGCATTAATCCTTGTTCAGGAATAGGACATTTTGCTTCTTTCTTAACGGTTTTGTTTGTGCGGCCGCATTTTTCTCATTAGCAACAAATTTTTCCTCCTCTTTTTCCTTCTCCTCCTTCACGCTCATGGCAATTTTATGATCCATTAAAATTAAGCGCGGCGGTTTCTCTTTCTTTCCCCCCCTCTTTCCCCCTCCTCCCCCCTCTTTTTTCAAGCTCCAAAGATCGCTCAGCTCATTCCCTTAACGAGTCGCTTTCTTCACTCAGCAGCGATTTATTTAATAAACACCGGGCTGGCAGCGCGCTGAACCTCCCCGTGCAGGAAGGGCGGGCGGGCGGCGGAGCGCGCAGCACCGCGGGGCAGCAGCGCCTGGAGCCCGGCGCTCCCAAAGCTCCGCGTAGCGCCGGCCGGCAGCCGCACGCCGTGCCTGACGGCGCAGCCCCGCTCGCGCAGAGCAGGAGGGATGAAAGGTGGTGGGGGATGGAGAGAGGAGGCAGCGCGCTGCTCCGCAGGGGCGGCGGAGAGGTGCGAGCGGGACTGCCCGGCTTATTCCACGTGCAGATGACAGCCAAGTCCCAAAGGCTTTTTGTCGGGGAAAAGGGGGATGGATTTCCGCGTTGCCTCCTGTGCTGGACTGTGGTTGGTGAGGGCATATATGTGCTTTTGGGAGTCCCCGAAGCCACAAGCTACCGGGTTGCACCTATGCAGGAGGCTGCTGTTATTTAGCATGTGAAAGCGCGACTGAAGTTCCCTTTGCCTCCGCCCTCCCCCTCCCTTTTTTTTTTTTGCTCCCTGCCAGGCTGCAGTACTTCTCCATTTATTTATTTAAAATCAAAGGATCGTTTTCTATCTGGCTTCCTTCCCTCATGAATATGAATTGACAGAAGTTAAAATAATGTTTTGCAAATAAATGGGTATGGTTGTTTACACAAGCCAGAAGCAATATGTCTTTTAGCTGCTGAGCTGAAATATAATGACTTAAAGATTTCACATACAATACAATCTCTTGTATAAATACTTTTTCCTAGGCAAAATGTTAAGGAGGAATAGAAGTTTGGAATTATCTATGGAGAAGATCAGAAATAACTGGAGAAAGTGCAACTTCCCTAGCAAAGGGTTACAGATAGCTATGCCTATGTTCTCTCTCCTGATTTTGTATTTCTGTTTTTTACATCCAGGCTATAGTTAATATAAGAGTAGCTGAGCCAGTCCTGTCACTACTGGCAGTGGCCTAGAGGATGCCTAGAAAATAGCCAGCACGTAGTGATTGCTGCTTGGGAGGATCTGCTTGTTCTGAAGGTGTGAGACACTCAGAGTTCCTGAATGACGTGCAGAGACCCGAGTATGTCACAGGTAAGTGAGGTGTAAGCATGGCAGTGATCAAAAGCAAGTTTCAGTCTCGAATCATACTACAGCTTAGTCCTACTACAAGTCTCTTCTATCTTCTGTTTTTCTTTAGAGATTTGTTTTTGAATCCACAGCCTAAATCTTTAAGAGGCAAAGTCACTCAGTGTCATGGGAATAAGGACGAGTTCTTGTACATAACTGTTGAGTCATGGCCTGACCCACTGATTGAGCACCTGGGGAAAGGATCCAGTCAGCCCTGGGAGCACAGGTGAAGGCAATTCAGCTGTGTGACCAGAGGGGTGGAACCTGGCTGCACCTCTTAGGCCTCATTTAAGGGCTGGCTGCCACTGGGGGGAGGATCTCAGGTTGGAGATCCCTTCTTGGTGAAGCTTTCCCCTATGAGCCTGCAATCTTCAGATACGGGTGAGCAATCGTCTTCATTTCCTTTATTGTGTTGGCTCTTCCCTCTTCGTGGCTCTGTTGTAATGCCTTTCCCATTGTATTGATCTGTCCAGTTGCTACAGCACTAAAGGAGAAAACAGGAGGGAAATCTTTGATGATCAGATCCATTTAGCTTTGAGGGAGCTGGTGAAAACTGAGATGTAGAAGTCATTCTGTAGAAAGCCTGTAGGGTGTACGGGACTGAAGGCTTGCAGGCAGGTGGCTCTGTGTAGAACACCTGTGAGTGTTCTCACCCACCTGCTGGAGGGTTTGGGAGTAACAAAGCCATGACATCTTCCTTTTTGCAGCAGCTGACTGATCAAAGCTGAACTGCAGGCTTTTCTTAACTTCTGGAAGTTACTGTAACTTTTGCAAAGCAGTTTGCTTCTGGTTAGATAGCTACTGAAGACATGTCCATACTTGTGTCAGACTGGGTCGTGAGTGCAAATAAGGAACATCCTTACTGGAACATTTGGCCCTGAAACTTCTGGTGTCATTTCCTCTAAGTAAGAAGTCTCTCTGTGTTTGCAGGCATTCACATCATCTGTACAGACAGTTCTCTTGATCAGGGCAATGCTAAAGTGCAAAGGTCTATTTTTATTATTTAAAGGTCTTAAAAATGCAGCATCACAATGTCAGATGGGTGTAGCAGAAGCCCTGCAGCACCTGGCATCAGGTGGTTCAACACAAGCAGTATTTGAAACTGAATATGGAAAGAGAAACGTGCAGTGGTTTGGTACAATGTCATAAATGTAGCCTCGCTGGTCATCACTTTATTTTCTTTGCTTGCTGGAGAATACAGTAGGAAGCTGAGCCCTTAAGACTATCCAGATGACTAATGTCAAGACATTTATCAAACCAATACCCGTTCTGATACTGAACTTTCTTTAGCTGTGAATAATTCTAAGTTGCTTTCCTTTCAATGGGATTTTAAAATGCCATTCAATAGGTAGGGAAGTTAACATTTGTATCATGATTATCCCCTTAACTGCTGTTCACATCTTTGTTACTAAATGTGTCTCATGCAAGCTCCTATCTTTCTGTTGGTTAGAGTATTCAGCTAATAGCGAATTACAGAGAGACAGTCTGCAAAGGTTTTCTATGTTTCAGTTGCCTGGAATGAATACTGACTCCTCTTGGCAAGTTGTCAGAGCTGCTGGGGGAAATGAGGCTGGCTGTGATAGTTGGCTTGGTTGTGGGGATCCCTTCCTATCAGCCTATACCTCTGGTGCACGTAAATGGATTGAATCTCCTTCTGAAGTCAGTTCAGAATGTTTTGGCTTTAACAGAGTGGGCTCTGCACAGACAGTTGCGCTAAAGGTGTATCTGGCTTTTAAGACTAAGACCTTTCCTGGCCTAAATGATTCTAAGGTCATCGTGTCCAAGGTAGAAGATATCCAAGACATGCCAGGAAGGCTCACAAAGCTTGAGGAGATCTTATGAAACGAGGCAGAGCCAACACCACTGAGTTCAAAGAAGGCAACTTATAATTCTGCGGCTTGTTTGAGACAGAACTGCAGGAGGTGTTACCCTCCTGAAGGACTGCATATGGAACAGGCTCAGCTTAAAGTGCCACCGAAGGCCATTTAAGACAGTATGTCTAACATTGCGCTGTAGTAGAGAAAGAACACTTCTGTTGTGACACAAGATAGTAGAACAGCTTAAAACACCCAGACCATTACTTCTGTCATCTCCTTATGGATGTTATGTAGTTGCTTACAGTCACTTTTCTTGCTTGACCTATACAAAACAGTAGTGTCTGCTTCTGTGTTCTCTCCTGGATTTGAAGACGTTATTAAACCAATTCTCTCTTTCCAAAGCTCAATGCATTCATGCTGGCATCCTCAATAAAGCTGAGGCACAAACAAAAAAGCAAACAAAACAGTCGCAATAGTATTCAGTGCACTTAAACTTGGAGGAAATGAAAATCAATATTTGTCAAATGGAGGGAAAAGGTAAAAATGGACTGAGGGGAAAAATGCCTGGTTTTCTTAAAAGCCATTAGTGAAAATGAAAAGTTGACTGCAGCACTGAAATTTAATTTAATATGTTGGTGTTATTTGAACAGATAACTTTTTTTCTCCTTCCACCACTCTCCATGTACTGATGCACGCAGTTCCTTATTGTTAATGCTGTCAAATGGAACTTAACTACACTTCAATATGGCATGGTTTGGAGCCTTGAAGCCTTATGTGAAGTTCCCCTTGTGGTTGAAGTGTGGTGTCTGAATCAGTAAATGAAAACTACGTTTTCTGTGTGTTCATTGCCCTGGTCCAAGTGCTTTAATCTCTTTATATGCTCCGTAAAACAGTTCTAGCAATAATTTCTTACCTTTCATTTTCATTTATTTTGAATTTGTAGCGTGGAAGCTATTTGGAAGCTATATTACTGATGTGCCATGTGGATACTCTCTTGTAATAGAAATGAAATATTTGGTAAAACTAAGCATGTGGAATTGGAAATGTCATATCTGGTCAGAAATAAAATGCTATGTGCTGTATAGCATGGCAATTCAGGCTCAGTCCTGTAGCCTCTGTCCTCCTGGTTGCTTTGAGGCTGGCATGAGCAGTGAGACAACTGGGCTCCTCTGCAGCTGTTGGTTTTGCTGCAAGTCTCTAACGTTATGTGATGGTCTCTGTTTTGTCCCATAGAATATGTATCTGCATGCACTATATGAAATTGCTAGCAGCAAGCAGAGCAGTGGAGCTATTTCTTGACATGCAGCTCATAGCAATGTCTACCATTGAGCACTAGGAGTAATGGCTGAAGAAAAGCATTATTTTTTTATCCGATGGATTTTTTTATTTTTTTTTCTTTTCGGTTTGATCAGTTTGCTTTTTGTAACCCTATGTGGCAGTGGTGATTTTTGCTTTTGAAAGCATAACTGTGTTTTGAAACTTTGGCTGTGTATGATATAAGTCATCGCATTATGTATGTGTTCAGAACTTTTCCACGTAATGACTTAGAAAGAGAGGAATGATTTTCACTTCTTCAAGAGTCTGTAGTAATTGTCAACTAAAACCCAAAGTCCTGATTTCATATATTGCTAGTTTTGGAGGGCTTTCTTCTTTTGGAAAGTTAGACATTGGCAGCAGTAAAAACAGAAATGAATAGTTGGGGCAGTATTCCTCCCCACCCCCTGATGACAGTGGGCAGTTCCCAGCTGACACACTAACATACTTCTGTGTGTTAGTACCCATCAAACAAAAAAGCAGCTAGGAAAAGGAAAGCAATTAGTCAGTTAGGTGAGTAGACTATGTGTGTGAGTGGGGAGCCTGGCACTGCTAAGCTCAGAACCAGGGCAGCCAGCACCTGTAGGAAGACTTTGAAGTAGCAGTCCTATGGTGATGTGACATATTTCTCTTTCTTCAGAATTAGTAATTTTCAATGTTTCTTCTTCCACTGCCTCCTAGTTTCTTTCTTGATTTCTTTTTCTCTGTTAGGGGTTAAGTTTCCATATAACACTGACAGTTTCTGGAAAAGGCTCTAGCAGCAGTAGAGCTGATGAAAGACATGAGTATTTATAGAAAATAATAAAGTAAAAATAAATTTAGGATGAAGTATCAATAGCTAACAGCTGTAGCACCCTTTCTCCCTCTCCTGTTAAGTGTTGGCCATTTTGACTCTCTCCAGTGTCACCATAAGTAGCCCAAGATGGCAGCACATACGGATGGCTGAGATGACTGCTCTGCTGTGGGACTCTGGAGTGGCTGAAGTCCAGTGCCAGTGGGTTCATGTGCTCACAGGGCTCATGGAGCAACAAGGGTTGTGCAGAGAAGTTTTTGACTATAGCAGTGGTGACTGGAATTGTCTCTGGTGACTTTGTCGTAAACCAGGAGTTGATCTCATTTTGATTGTCTTCAGCAAATGAGAGGTGAAGAGACGTAAAGTTACCCTGTGTTACTCTCTTGACGTGTGCAGCTTCTGACCAAGTCTTAAAAGTTACTCCATCAGTTTTTTTTTTATATATGGCTTTCTTTATTCCTCTAAAGACTCATGTGGGTTCAGCCCTGTCCTTTTAAATGGATGAATTTTGGTATGGGAAGCTTTTCTTATCTCCGGAATTATATGGATTATACTCCGAAAGGAGATTGGCAGGGATGGGCAATGCTGGCAGATCAGGGTTTGCATTTCTGGGGAGAGTGAGAGAATGTTGGCTGCAAGTGGCTGCTGAGCCTTTGTTGGAGTCTTATTTTGTTATTATTTAATGTTGTCTTGATTCTGCGCTCTTTTTTTTTTTTTTTTTTTTTTTTTTTAAGTGCTCAGGGTTGATTCTCTTGGGAAATACATTGAGAAAGAAGTCTTTCCCTGTTCCTGTCTGAGAGGAAGTGTAGGCAGACTGGTGTCCATTTCTTCCTGGGTTCTGTTCAGTGCAAAATTGCAGTGTGGGTCCTGAGCAGAAACCTGCTTTTCACCTGTGAAAACCCAGCATTTGGGCTGCTCCACGAGTGCCTCTGTCTGTTTGCTTACCTTACAGTGTCTGTGTTCATTTTTTTTTTTTAAATGCCATTTCTATAGATTCACCTGAAGAGCAATAACCCTGGCTTGAAGTAAAGCAGAAGAAA